ATAGATTATCTTTAGAGAGAAATCTTTGGGAGCAGTTGGTAGGCAGTGTCCAGAGGAACCGAAGATCTGGGCAGTACCAGTCAGCATCCACGGAGGATCATGGTAGAAGTGACCATTTGTAAGCACAGAGGACATGCACCAAAAAAGCCTTCAAAGAACCAAAAGGCAGAGATTTCAGGCTAGGGGTATTTACTGTTTATAGACTATGAGAAACATGGGTTACATATATTTTTCCTTTTAATTTAACCCTTTAATCTTGTCTTAGTTGGCATTCATTTTATATCTCTCCATCTTAATCATTTTATTATTTGAATTTTGGTCCCTTTTTTAAAAAACTTTTTTTTTCGTATTTTTTGTTTGTTTTTTGTTTGGGGGGGGAATTAGGTTTATTTACTTATTTATTTTTAATGGAGGCACAGGGGATTGAACCAAGGACCTCGTGCATACTAGGCATGCACTCTACCATTGAGCTATATACCCTCTCCCTAATAACATATTTTAATTTTACTTTTATTTAATCAATTTATTGTTTAATATCTCTTTATTCTACTGCACTGTAAGCTCCTCGAAAGTAGGGACCATATCTGTTTTTCTCAACAATGTGTCCCCAGCTCCCAGCACAATGCCTGACACATAGTGTTTCATTTCTCCTGTGAGTAGTCACAACTTTTTAAAATAAACAAACCAGTAAAATAGCACAGCCACTTTGGAAAACAGTCCAGTAGTTCCTCAAAACCTGAAACACAGAGGTCACCATGGGACCCAGCAATTCCACTCCAAGGTATATGCCCAAGAAAATTGAAAACTTATGTCCACACAAACACTTGTACACAAATGTTCATAGCAGCAGTATTCATAATAGCCAAAAAATAAAAACAACCCAAATGTCCATTAACTGATGGATGGATAATTAAAATGTGATACATCGACACAATGGATTATTATTCAGCCATAAAAAGAAATGACATACGGATACATGCTACAACATGGATGAACCTTAAAAACATGCTAAGTGAAAGAAGCCAGTCACAAAAGGTCACCTCCTGGATGATTCCATTTATAAGGAATGTCCAGCATAGGCAAATCCGGAGAGACAGAGGTAGATGTGTGGTTGCTCATGGTTGGGAGTGCTTGAGGCGGATGGAGAGTAACTGCTAGTGGGTACTAGATTTGGGGGTAGGTAATGAAGATGTTCTAAAATTAGATAATGATGGTGGTTGCACAATTCTGGATATACTAAAAACTTTGAATTGTACACTTAAAAAGGTGAATTTTGTGCTATATGAATGAGAGCTCAGTAAAACTATTTTTAGATAAAAAAAGAAATGATAGTCAAGTCCTTCTTTAAGAAAGTTATTAAAATCAACAAGGAAAACTTTAAATTAGTTTGTTTTCAAGAAAAACAGCCCCGTGTACTTGAAATGAATGGCAGTGTGGTTGGATGGGAGGGGACAGATTGCAAAAATCACGGGGCTCCCTGGCTGCGGGGGGTCGCCGTCTAGGATGACTTCCGGAGCCCGGCTTGGACAGCTGAGCCAGGGCAGAGGGTGAAACTACAGCCTCGGAAAAGAGGGTGAGAGAGGATGTAGCGGGGCGCATTTGATCCCTCCTTCCTGGCCTCCCATTGCACTCTTTGTATGGTGCCATTTTAACCATCAGGACCAGGCCCCGCTCATCTTGGGATCCCCAGGGCCCAAGAGGCTCCCCAGGCGTTAAGTATATACTGTTTGGTTCAGAAAATGTGGTTGATTAATGAACAGACAAAGAGCCGGCAGGTCACTGCATTCCGCTCCGGCCGCCAGGTTTGGGGAGTGGTGACAGCCAAGGAGTCCGCGGGAGCCGCGCCGCCGCTGTCCCGGGGCGAGGGCCGCAGTCTTTGTGCCGAGG